TCATCAGTGAGGTGATGGCGAAACTTGTGAGTGGATAGGTCAAACTTGGCGGGGTCCTATCCCTTGCTCTTATCGCTTCTTAGGATAAAATTGCATCCGGACAAATGTTGTTGTTCAGAATAACGAAAGCTCAAATTTATGCAAATTCAACAGCATATTGAAAGCATTCGGATTAGTATAGAAGACTGCATATTAATTTACATTATAAAATCTGCAAATAAAACATATTGATTTATTTTTCTTTTAAGATTTTTTCGAAAATGAAACATGTAAATATTATTGTAAATTTGAGTTTTATAAATATAATTAGATAAAAATAAAATTTAAAAAATACTAACTGCAACAAAATATTCAATAATATGTACAGAATAATCGATATAGAAAGATAAGAAAAAATTAGGCTACACAATTTTTCCTCTAGGATCTGATAATTGCAAGCAGGTGTTGGAAAAAACTTTTATTATGAAAGCTTTTATATGTATATTTTTACACAAAGACAAAAAATGTTTTATATCACAATAATACTTATTCTATAATAGTTTCTAGCTTTATATGCTGACATAAAAAGGGTTACAAAAAAAACTCCCAAAAAATCAGAATAATTTATAATACATCATTTTATAAACTCAATTTTTAAAAAAAATTGTAGTATAAAACTTTGTTTATTTTATTATGTATTATTTAGAAACTTATTAATTTTTATATAACACAAAACTGGCAGGGAAACACTTGACACAGGCTTCAATACAGATACACAGATGGATGACCTTGAAAACAGCTGATTGTGGACTTTCGCGGGTTGTTCGGAACAANGATTTATTTTTCTTTTAAGATTTCTTCGAAAACGAAACGTAAATATTATTGTAAATTTGTGTTTTATAAACATAATTAGATCAAATGTGTTTAGATGAAAATAAAATTAAAAAAATACTAACTGCGACAAAATATTCAATAACCTGTACAGAAGAATCGATATAGAAAGATAAGAAAAAATTAGGCTACACAATCGTTTTATTTTTCTTCTAGGACTTGATAATTGCGAGCAGGTGTTGGAAAGAACTTTTATTATAAAAGCTTTTATATGTGTATTTTTACACAAATACAAAAAATATTTTATATCACAATAATACTTATTTTATAATAGTTTCTAGCTTTACATGCTGACATAAAAAGGTTTACAAAAAAACTCCCACAAAAAATCAAAATAATTTATAATACATCATTTTATAAAATCAATTTCTAAAAAATTGTAGCATAAAACTTCGTTTATTTTATTATGTATTATTTAGAAACTTATTAATTTTTATATAACACAAAACTGGCAGGGAAACACTTGACACAGGCTTCAATACAGATACACAGATGGATGACCTTGAAAACAGCTGATTGTGGACTTTCGCGGGTTGTTCGGAACAACGCCCGGGGGGAATAGGTTTTCTACACGTCTGAACTAGTTACTGTAAATACTCGAATGTATTTCGTTATTCTCTAATAATTTTTTATTAGTTTCTTCTTATTGCTCATACTATATGACTAGCAGACCCAGCCACGCGTTGTTTTGGCTCAAAATGTATCTATTATAAATGTATAACACTTTATCCATGGGGGAAAATTTTTCGAAAAATCCCTTCTTAGTGTACATTCTCTTGATGTACCCTATTAAAATGCAACCAAAAACGCAAAAAACTGCATCTAAAATAGTATAATAGAAGCCAAGTTCTTCCCGGTAAGCTTTAATCCTGTCCCTCTCCTCCGCGGGGGAATATCAAAAATCCCTTTTTAGTGTATATTCTGTTGACGTACCCTATTAACGTAATCACATAAATTGTCAAAAATATTTACTGCAAACGAGAGTGGCAAAGTAGGATTTTGTAAGGATTTACTGCTTGCATTTATTGTGGACAAATTACTGTTAACAAAAATGAATTCTAAAGTATTTATTTGGTTTGCTATTTCTCGTGATTCTTCTTTAACAGAATTTATTTGGTTGAACCCAGAGTGAATTTCCTTAACTGCATCAGCTCTACAAGACCATCTCGTAGTACTGTACATAACTTTTTTACTGTAAAATGTTTATTATTTGCAAAACAAGTAAGCATAGGCGATGGAAATTTGTGATTTTAATATCTCAATAACCTGTAAATTAAAAAGGTATGTTTTTAAGAAACAATACCTAATATGTTTGTTGTTTGTAATTTTATAGTGTTGTAACTTATGAACTTTTGTTTTTAGTTGGCTGAGGAGGGGCAATAAATGCCCGAAACGTGTGTAAATAATATCAACACGTATCAACTAAATAAAATTTGATGTTAAAAATTGCCAAGTGCCTGAAAATAAATACAATAATAATTTCTGTTTAAATTACTACTAATAACTACTAGCACGGTTTCAAAGTACCAGGATTAATTTTTATAAGCATTTAGTGCATTACATTATCATTAATCTTACAAACTCTGATGCACTGTACGTGGATATGTTTTAATATAGTTGAAAACACTTTCAAATATAGGAATCGTCCATGAATTACGTAACGCTATTTTTATACTTTTTAACAACTATTTCACCTATTGTAACGGTCCTTAACGTCATCGCACATACCTACATCCAAAGTTACGTAACATATAACTTCAATCTTAATTGTAATAACAAGTAAGAAATAATACACAGCACGGGATATCAAACGTTGTATCACTTTATTAATTACATGCGTAACATATAAAGCAGTGACACAAACACTACGGTTCCCTATGCACCACTTCAGAAACAAAAGTGAGTCAGTCTTTCCAGGAGATCCTAGCATTATGTAATGTTTTCATTAACACCTCACCTCTTGTAACGATTACCTGCATACCCACCACCCATATCTGCGTTACATAATTTATGGACAGCCGTATGCGGAATATGCCATTACAATTATACAGACTATTTTTTTTTGTGGACAGAAGCATCTCTAGAAGCTCCATTCCCGTACCCGTGTTTATTAATGTTTACATTAATGATTTAAGCATCTGGATGCAGAACTATTTTGTTACCACATATGCACACAATATACTTAACACCATTAGTTTTGATACCAGTAAACAATTATATGAATTAACCATTAATGTCAAAAGTTGGCCTCATTTATGCTAACTGTAGTTATTTTTTTAACATAAATGTAGTAAAGTTATTGGTAAGTGTAACTACTTTCCAAACAAAAATGGAATAGGCTGTAGAGCTTCCGGAGGTTTGCTCCCGTTTAACTACTACATAATATAAATATTATATAATAAAATAGATTTAATAGAATATTATTAAATTTATCATACGATTACAATGACTCCACAGGTTAAATTCTATCTCGATGCGCCATCGCCCTGAAACGGAAAAACATCAGACTTTACATGGTTCTTAACTTATTGGACATACCACAGTGCCAATCTCGGAGCGGAAAGTTCCATTATCCTCCATCAACCGACGCTTAGAATAGGCGATGTCTCATTCATTTCTCTACTCGTTCTAGTGCGGGCGATCTGAAATACGGCGATTATTTTATTATTTGTATAATTAGATAAATTACTCACTGTTAGAAGTTGTCGTTGCTTTTAATTTTCTTTGAAGTCCGAGCTGTGCGAATTCCTATCTTCTCTTTACCTGCCAACAAAGAAAAATATATAATGCTTCGAGTATTACTTATTGTCGAAAAATAGAAATATTGTTAATCAATTATTGATTTTCTTTACGTACTTTAATCCTCGGCCATAAGGTAGGATGGCCGAGGATTAAAGTGATAGCACAGTCTTGTGGGGATCTGGAATCGAATCTGGAAATATTTGTTCAGGGGCAAGATATACCCGGGTCGGGTAGATTGTCCCTCCACCATACGGCCGTCCCATCGCGTGCTTGGCCGAAGCTGTAATGGTCTCGATAAAAAGGTCCTCTTACTGCCCACACAGGATGGTTTATTTTGGTTTAAAAATATTTCGTGTAGCTACCAAATGCAAATAATTTTTCTTTAAAAAGTGAATAAATTTTTGCGTAAGTGACGATATTAATAAACATTCACAGATTTTTATATTCATTTCATGAACTAAAATTGCTTTTTTTTAAAATAACCGATAAAGGTTTTCGTTGAAAAGTAAGGATCTAAATAAATACTGAATATTATATACTTAAAGTTAATAAATACAATTAAGTAATTACAGATAATTGTAATTATTTTAAAACCTACAAGTATAAGAGATCTTTAACTGATTGAGTTTATATGCTTTTATAATTTGCATAACGAGAAGGTTCAAAGTGCAAGTAACGTGTGATGAGGGGTTCATCCGTTGAACCAGAGAAAAATTCATCAGTGGGAATTCCACAAACACTGTAGTTCAGGGGTGAGCAACCTTTTTAATCAATGGGCCAATTTAAATTTTAAAATTTTTTGGCGGGCCACACATAAAGTAACACTTATTAATAATTTACAAAACATTATTTATAATAAACATTAGAATAAAAAAATATAAAATTTAGAAAAAAGTAAAGATTTCATATACAAATTTTAATGCAAAATAAAAACAAACAAGAAAAGAACAGAAAAACGAATTTACTTGAAATTTTTAATGAGAAATTTGGCACTGTTTTTTCGATACAAGCTGATCAATATCAGCCGGAATTGATGAGGTAACTACACGTACGCAGCTTTCTAATCGTGCATCACCCAGTCTTGATCGCTGGTCATTTTTGATTAATTTCATAGTTGAAAATAATTGTTCGCAAACATACGTACTTCCGAACTGAGACATCATTTGCTTTGCATTTTTCGTCAAAAGCGGAAATTTCTCAGGGCTCACATAAGATTTATAAAAATTTTCGATGTTTACTGAGAAAAATACATTTTTTAAATCGGTATTATTCTGCATGTCAATCACTTCCGTTTGAAAGTCTTCGGGAACTGTATCCACATCGATATTAAATGGCGAGGAAAACATTTTCATGGAAACCGCTGTCTTCTCAGCTTTGAACATTTGGAATCATAATTGAAATTCGTTGATTAAAATATCTATATATTGTGCGTATTTTTGAGAAGTAGTAACGTTTTCTTTTTCTAAATGTGGAAAGTGAGACACATTATTCTGCAAAAGATGCTGTTTCCACAATTTTAATTTGCGCTCAAAGCCCTGAATTTTATCATACAAATTGTGAATAAACTGTCCTTTACCTTGAAGTTCCACATTAAGATCATTGAGATGCTGAGTCATGTCGATAAGAAACCCAAAATCGCACATCCATTCTTTATTACCAAAATGAGAAAAGCACTTCATATCCAAGAACAATTGTATTTCGCTTTTTAAGTTGTATACTCTTTTTAGCATTGCACCTCTACTAAGCCAACGTACTTCGGTATTAAAAACCACGTCGCCATATTCAGTTTCTAAATCTTTCAGGAATTCTTTAAATTCACGGTGTTTTAACGCGCGCGATTTTATAAAATTGATTAGTTTAATTATTGGTACTGTGACATTTGGCACACTCAATCTTTTTGCACACAAATTTTCCTGGTGAATTATGCAGTGGTTAACAAATATTTCTCTTCCTGTGACCTTCTTAATGTTTTGAAATAGCCTTCCCGATACTCCTACCTCCATGCTTGACATTGCTCGTGCTCCATCTGTCGATATACCAATAATATTTTCTAATAAAATTGAAAAATTTTCCAACACAGACTTTAGTTCATCGTACAGTGCTTTGCCGGTTGTAGTCCCTTGCATTGGAATCAGTGAACATAATTGTTCGGTAATATTAAATTTGGTGTCAATATCACGTATAAATATAGCCAGTTGTGCTGTATCGCTAATATCGCAACTCTCATCAAGTGCCAAACGAACAGTAATCGAATTTTGCAATGCGTTCACGAAGCGTTGTTGCTATGTTCTCGGACAAGTCTTCAATTCTCCTTGCAATGGTGAATCTTGATAAACTAATGTTTGAAATAATGTTTATTTTATCAGGAAATGCTATTTCTGCAACAGCAGTCAGACATTCTTTTATCATCTNACAAGTCTTCAATTCTCCTTGCAATGGTGAATCTTGATAAACTAATGTTTGAAATAATATTTATTTTATCAGGAAATGCTATTTCTGCAACAGCAGTCAGACATTCTTTTATCATTTCTCCATCCGCAAAGGGTTTTTTTTTGCCAGTATTTGACTGACAACAAAACTAGCCTTTACTGCCGTATTTGATAAAATATCTTGATTTTTAAAAATAGCCTGTTGTTTTCCCAAGTTTTACTCCATTTGATTAAACTTATCTATCCGGAGTTGTCCTGTTAAGTTTTTATATTGTTGTTCATGTTTTGTATCGTAATGCCTGTTTATGTTATATTCTTTTAATGTCGACACAGTCTCTGAGCATATTAAGCATACAGCTTTATCTTCGACGAAAGTGAAAAAATAATCAAATTTCCACTTTTCTTGGAAATGCCTGTGCTCATCCGCAACCTTCCGTTTTTTTGTTTGCTTTTCCGACATGCTATTATGGATTAAAAATTTGAAAGTTAAAAAAATTTGTAGGAAAACTTAATTTTGAATAAAAAAAACTCTAATATTACCTTTTTGACAATAATATTGCACTCACGCCTTTCAAGAAACACAAGAATTGCTAAAATTGCTAGTTAACAGCTTACCAGTCTGACTGATTGTGTGACAGAAGCAAACACAAACAAGCACAGACGCGGCGCGTTCGTATTGCATGTTTGAACAAGTCGCCGACAAGTGAGTAACTCGTCACAAAAAATTGTTTCGGTTTAGTATGTACTACCATTTTATTATAATTAATTTTATAACAATATATTGATGGGAGAAAGTCGATAAAATAAATTCAATTTTAAAAATGCTTGGCGGACCGCATAAACATGTTTAACGGGCCGCGTGTTGCTCATCCCTGCTGTAGTTGTTTTTGTTTTAAATCACGCAAAAAGTACAATAATTTCGTAACTCCAAGCTTTATTTATGTTAAAGTCTTCTGCAGGTCCTGCGCTACCATTTAGACAAACCAGGCAACCGACCAGAGCGCGAGCCATGAAGGGGCACAAAATTTCAAGCCATGCTTTATTCATACTTTACTAAAATATTAAATTAAATAGTGATATATGGTTTAGCTATGGATTCTTTTTCCTTATCCCTCACATATCATACTATTTTACTATTTATCTCTTGGTTTATTTTTGCTCCTTTTCTAAATGATTTGAACTTAGCGCTATTTAAAATCCAGTTAAGATAAATATTTTAAAATACAGTAGCCCCTCGTTATATCGCGCTGGTCGAGAGGTAAAGAAAAAGCGCGATATAACGAGAGGCTACTGTATAAATTTTGGTATTATATAACTATTTTTGTAAATGAACTATAACAGAATTTACCTGCCACCTGCACAGGTCTTATGATTAAGTTTAAGATTACACTTACGTAACTCATTCTGAATGGTTGCATAATGCATAGATATAAGGTTTTCCGTTTATGCTTAACCTTGTTTTATTGTCACTTCTGATTTTATTTTAAATTGCTAACGTTCGTGCCCATCTCTTTCTTTACTTAATTTACTTTTGGTTTCGTCAATAAATAAAACAATTGTGTAAGTAATGCTTTAAGATTAACGGTACGGGAATAAAGGCCCATTCACAATGAAAATTAAAGAAGTCTAAGACAATTCTTCACTTTCATATAAGTAGTATCGGCACGGTCTGGAACGGTGGAATATACGACGGAAGTGTGTCATCATTGGAGTCGTGACTACGTCCGGTTTCAATTACATGATATTGCATATATCCCGTGGTACTAAATGGCGCGACATATCCATACGTCACCACCTGTAACGTGGTTCTCCATATCACTTGTAGTATGACGTCATACTAAGAAATATTTTAAATATATTTGTTGGAGAAGGAAAACCATTCGAAGAGCGGGTTGGATCTTATGAATCGATATTTAAGCGTCTTCAAATTATGTAAGCAGCATAAACGTAAATATATTTTTTCGGACTTAATAACATAATATTTAATATCGATGTCGGTCTATCCCGTGACCACGTAGGTCATATGACGTCATGTTGTTTGATGCCATATTGTTGTGATGATGACGCCATACTATGGGTGACACGAAGTGATAAGGTTGTGACATAGGAATAACACGTGATATGTTGTACGTTGCAGTGTCATGTAATTGGAATCGGAAGAAGCCACGACTCCAATAAAGCCACTTAGTAGTACGGTAGTCACTTCCGTTCTATATTGTACCGTTCCAGACAGACCGTGCGGATATTATTCACAAACTTATCATAAAGACCACAAATGACTAAAGTGACAGTTTCATTTTCATATAGTTTTTACTCCAATATGAATAATGGATTACATTTACCCTAGGTAGCCAAAATGGCGGCTGTTCCGGTAACCTCGATGCCATGTTCGTTTGGAAAAGAAATATAGATGACGCTGATCATACAGATGATTTCATATGCTAATTTTCTTAAAAATCTTCATTGGGAAATAATGATGAAATATTCCAATTTTTACTTTGGTCACGTTCAAGATGGATGGTGCGTTTTGTTATCTTTTATAATGTAGTTTGTGTTTTTTTAAAGTTTGTACAATTTTCTTGTATTCCGGGGCAGCGCAACGGGATGACCGAAACAGCGTCGACCAGGTAGAAGATCACCGCAGGTGCAGCTAGCCGATGAAGCGGAGAGCGAATGAAGCCGAGGATGCAGTTCTCCTTAGGTCTAAAATTAAACTCGTACTCCAGGCCAAATCTGTTGGAACCACTACCACTTATAGACGGTTTTCATCTATTACGGTGAATTTTTAATATTCCGTATCTTGTCCAAAAATAGGAAATGAAACCAAATGCAAGGAAAAAAGTAAGTATCAAAATTTAGTTATTGTTCGATTTAGACATTGTCGCGATTTAGTTGTTGACGTTCGCCATCTTGTTTGCATATGGGCATGCGCAAACAAGATAGCGACCGCCGCCATTTTGGCTACCTATGGTAAATCTAACCGGCCAATAGAATATTAACACGAAACCAATTGACAATGCCCCACGATTTTTCAGAAATAACGAAATTAGTTTTGAGTATTTTAAATTTATATAGGAATTTTTAAAGTTTATATTCGAGTTCTTAAATTATTTCTTTTTATTAGTAAATTAGCAGATATGTGCGGCATTACCCGGCCGAAAAGTTAAAAGGATAAACTTTAAAATTAAAACTATATTACCTACGCACTCTTCGTAGGTTAAAATAACCAGGTCAAATCGGGAATAGAGTGGGTCATTCAAATTTCATGGAAATCTGTATTTTTCTTTGAGTCCTACAGAATAAGTATAAGAAATTTGATACAGGCAAAAAGTTTAGGAATTACGAACGAGGATAAAATCAGTAGAGGGGTGGAATATCCAGGTTTAACGGTAGTCTAAATTTCATTCAGAGTGCCAGAGAACAAGAAAGAAAAAATTGGTGAAGATCCACCAAAAAGCTAAGAACAGAGAGACTCAAATACGGCGATTATTTTCTTATTCTAAAAACATGAAGATTTGCATAAAACTCCGCGGGTCAAATTTGACACGATGGTGGTTGCGTCTCGATAGCTATAAGGGTGTGGGAGATATGGGGTTTAAAGTGGTTGACTTCGAAGAATTTCTATTTCGATTTTAAAAATGTTCGAACCGTTTTAAATTCGAATAATTATATATATATATAATTATTCGAATTTACAACGGTTCGAACATTTATATACATATATATACAGGGTTACCTGTATATATATATATACAGGTAACCCCCGTATAACACGGGAGTTATGTTCCAAAAAAATTGCCGTGTTATGCGAATCCGTGTTATACGAAACAAAGAATTAGTGCGAAAAGGAGGGTTAGGTTCCAAAAATTAAAAAAAAAACATGCTATTGTATTTTCATTATTAAGATAAATATCTTTATTAAAATTTTCATAAGAAGTGATACATATTAATATAAATTAAACAATGTTTTCTTCGTCATCACTAAGCACTATTAACCGAGGCCGTTTTCTTTTTGGCAAGATATTCTTATCCTCTGAGCATTTTTCTGCATTATCTTCAGATCCATTCTCTACCTTTTGCAAAAAATATTATTTTAGATTGCTTGCTTTTAGTTAAACAAAATAATTGGCAGGATATATTCCCGAATGTGTGGACAACACTTCGAATTTTTCTGACCATACCTGTAACTGTCACTAAAGGAGAACGAAGTTTCAGTAAATTAAAACTCGTTAAAAGTTATTTACGTTCAACCATGTGTCAGGATAGACTGTCAGATCTAGCAATTTTATCTATCGAAAATAGTATTGCTCAGGAATTAAATTATTCTGAATTAATAACAACATTTGCAAGCGCAAAAGCGAGGAAGATGGCAATGTAGGCTTTTTATTTTATTTCTTAATTTGTTTCAATTTCAAATTAATTTACGGTGTAAATTTGTTTTTTGCGTGATGTGAGCGTTGTCTGTGCCATAGCAGTTTAAGTAAATATTATTATGAATATTGCCTAATGAAAGAAATTAAATGAATATTGCCTTATGAAAGAATTTTTTTTTTCACTGTTCCTCGTCCATACTAGTACTGTACTATGCTATAAATTTTACATAAGAGTGAGCTGGGTTGTGAGAATATAAAACATGATCCAGAAATGTGTGCTATATCTTCATAACCTAAAATTAAGAGATTCCATCGACGGAGGGGAGGGGGAAAAACGGNAATTTTCTTAAGAAGTGATACATATTAATATAAATTAAACAATGTTTTCTTCGTCATCACTAAGCACTATTAACCGAGGCCGTTTTCTTTTTGGCAAGATATTCTTATCCTCTGAGCATTTTTCTGCATTATCTTCAGATCCATTCTCTACCTTTTGCAAAAAATATTATTTTAGATTGCTTGCTTTTAGTTAAACAAAATAATTGGCAGGATATATTCCCGAATGTGTGGACAACACTTCGAATTTTTCTGACCATACCTGTAACTGTCACTAAAGGAGAACGAAGTTTAAGTAAATTAAAACTCGTTAAAAGTTATTTACGTTCAACCATGTGTCAGGATAGACTGTCAGATCTAGCAATTTTATCTATCGAAAATAGTATTGCTCAGGAATTAAATTATTCTGAATTAATAACAACATTTGCAAGCGCAAAAGCGAGGAAGATGGCAATGTAGGCTTTTTATTTTATTTCTTAATTTGTTTCAATTTCAAATTAATTTACGGTGTAAATTTGTCTTTTGCGTGATGTGAGCGTTGTCTGTGCCATAGCAGTTTAAGTAAATATTATTATGAATATTGCCTAATGAAAGAAATTAAATGAATATTGCCTTGTGAAAGAATTTTTTTTTTCACTGTTCCTCGTCCATACTAGTACTGTACTATGCTATAAATTTTACATAAGAGTGAGCTGGGTTGTGAGAATATAAAACATGATCCAGAAATGTGTGCTATATCTTCATAACCTAAAATTAAGAGATTCCATCGACGGAGGGGAGGGGGAAAAACGTCAACAGCTTGTGATATGTATGAATTAACAAGGGTCCAGTTAATTCTCCATTTACGTCGTTATCGTTTCTCATCCATAATATTACTATACTAATCTTTCGGAGGTATGAGTTATTAATAATGTGAAAAATGTACGTTATCAGTTTAGTCTAGTGTTTCTCAACCTCTAAGGAATCGTCGCCCCCTTCAATGCAGTATCGCCCCTTCAGTAAAACCGTTACGTAGTATCGCCTCCTTCACTACAAAATTCCGATGCCGAGGGCCAACTAATGCCAAATTCGTACTTCATTGAATAGACTAGTGACTAATATAATGTTCTTTGTTTAATTATTGTACGATATAACGAATAAAATATCTAATTATTCTTAATATAATGTTTTACTATATCGCCGAGAAAATTGTTTTTCGCCCCCCAAAATATAAATTGTTCCTAATCGCCCCCTCAACATAGAAAAATGTCCACATGGGAGCGATATCGCCCCCGTTGAGAAACACTGGTTTAGTCTCTACAGGGGGGCACAATGAGATTTCGCACCACCTGAAAACCTGGCTATACACGTTACGGAAATCCTCAAAGGATGTACTAAACAGACGAAAAAAAAATCGGATATAACTGGCTGGATCGAACATAGTAATTTACAAAACTTATTAAAATATTTCCCAACGTATAAAGAATTATTTTTATTTAAAGGTGGATAGATAGAAAAAAAGTCACGGTTGATCCTCAAAGGATTTCCGTAACGTGTATAAATCTAAGACCTTGGGGCGGTATCACAGTATGCCAAAAACGGCCACTAGGGGCGCCCCTAGCTATTTTAAATTAACAATATAAATGATTTTATTGATATATTTATTTTATATTTTTACAGTATAATTCAGTATATTATTACTTTTATTAGTAATAGGAATTTATTGTTTATACCATGGAATGACACAGCTGCTGCTACTGAAAAAATGGGCAGTCTCTGTCGGCGTATAGAGCGCCAGCTAAGCAATTAATTATTTATCATTGCTATGCATGCTATTTAGTTGCCCCGATGCCTACATCGGGCCGTTCAACTGGCTATAATATAATATAAAGATTAGAAGTACGAAATTATATACTAATCTTAACCTTGTCTTTTGCCCGGGCAACGCCGGGCTCATCTTCTTGTAATTAATATTATTCTTATCGCTAAAAAAAAAAATTCTAAATTATTGGAAGAATTACTTTCAATAAGAAACGTAAGAACACATTTTCTTTAGATTTTAAATTCACAATAACCTTATAAAAAGCAACATATTTTTGTTATTTGCTTAATATATACAGTTGTCCAACAGAAAAGTAAACTATCTTATTTACAAATCTTTTCAAAACAGACAGATTGTCCTGGCCCTAGACATTTGTCTATGCGATGATCTGGCCCTGCTTGATTGCCTAACTGGACTAACTTCCTCGTCAAGAACCTCAAGACCCACTAGCGAATCACTAAAAAGTAAAAACTGCTAGCAAATCAACCAAACTCTAGGTATTTATCGCCACGTGAACAATTGTAAACTCTCTCTCGAGAACCGTGGAACGCTCATTTAAACCATACTATCAAAACTATCGACATATTGTAAGACATTAGAGAGGTTGAGACACAAGTTCAAACGTTAAACGTGTACGGGTAGCAAAGTACACGTTACACGTTTCAAGTCCAAGTAAAAATCGTTGAGGCACACGTTCATAACATCACGTGACTCAGTGAACATCGCGCATTGACTCACGGGAAATAAGTTGAAAAAAATGGCGGAAGCAAAATAAATCATAATTTTAACCCCAAACACAAAAAATAAAGACGTTTAAGCCGATCGTGCATTCACCAAGCTACACGTAGCAAACGCCATTATGGACGGTCCAGAACTGCCAGATGGCGGCACTCACCCGTTATCCGTACACGTTTTGGGCTAAATACGTGCGCCTCAACCTCTCTATTATAAGACATCGCTCAGTAACGCGACTGCTCGCGTGACCTATTTCCAAATCGCTGTCGTCTGGGCTTCTGGGTCAAGCAAAATCCGGTGGTGTCTATCCTGACAAGGCATCGAGGAAGTGCCGACCCTCTGGTCACACTAGTGAGAGCGGTGGTTGTTATTATTAGATAATATATTAAATTAGAAAAGTTGAAATTATATTCCTATATTTTATTTGTAAATATTATATATGATACAATGCATATTATGCTTTATTTATGTAGAAAATTTAAAGCTTAAATATTTGTAAATTTTCTTTATTTTACATACAAAAATCTAAAACACATACAAATTAAATATTTACAAAATTCATGCTATTTTTCATTATTAAATCAGACTTCTTCTGAAGTAATATTCTATAAAAAAAATTATATATAATTTATAATATAATATAAATAATATATATTATATACAGTAATTATATATTTTAACATTAAAAAATACTATTATGTTTTAAAAAATGAAATAATTACACAGACTTTCATAATGGATTAATAAAAATTTTTTTATAAATTTTAAATTCATAATCTTTGAAGAAATTGATTTCATATGTAATCTAAAATGTTCATATATATAACTGAAAAATAATAATAATATTTTTTTCATTGAAAACAATAATGTTTTGTAAAATATAAAACAAGATATTAAAAATACTGTATAACAAAATTAATGTTAGGTAATAAATATTCAATAATTTCTATGCTTATTAAATTTGGTTAATGATCCAAATCAAGGCTTCTTAAACTTTTTCCATTTACAACCTCTTTTTGCCCAAGAACATTTTGAGACCTTGAGTATAACTTAGGTATTATATATAAAATAAACATAATAAATCAAAAAATGTAATTCTAAACAATTCTTTGTTATACTTATAATTTTACTACCATTAATTAGTACAAAATCAAATTTGGATATTAATGAAATGACTAAATTTGATTAATGAGTTAAATCTTGGCTGAATATTTGATGTTGCAAGACACAGTACAGTAATCTTCAACATTTCTCAGAGTTAACTGATTTTTTATTTTCCAACTGTCAATGATGAAAACAAAAAACAATATAACAAATACAAGAAGAGAATGATGAATAGATTGTATAAAAATAAAAATTTAAATAATACTGTTCTGCCCACTTCAACATACAATGATAAGAGGAAAGATCATAAGTATGACTTTTGTCTCAGAAATTGGAAGAATTGATTCTACTAAGCTTGGCATCAATCATAATGACTGAAAATGGTTTCATTTCATTATCTCAAAAAATATTGATAAATATATATAAAACCTTAGATCAATGGTTCCCAATTAGTGGTACACGTACCCCCAGGGGTACACGCAGCAATCTAAATTCGGTCGATTTAAAATTTAAATGCATGAGATAAAGCAATCAAATGAATAATGGGTGGACCATCAAAAATTCGGCAATTTACAACACAATGCCAAATGCTCAAATTTGTTTATTTATAACTAAAAATATTCTCAAAATTTCATCAAAAAAATGCGTTTGTGACAATACCTAAATGAAATTCTTACACAAGAAACAAAAATTGTACAGTTAACACAAATTCTGTTAATTGTACAATTATCATTATTATCATGTCAACGAAGCGGCAATAAAATATTTACTACCATTTTCCACAACATACCTCTGCGAGAGCGGATTTTTGGCCATGACAAACGTGAAAACTAACATCTCCGACTTCAACTCAAAGACAACTTGAGACTGAAGCTGACCAAAAAAGCAACCAGAGTTTACAAAGTTGTGCAAAGAAAATTGTGCACATTTGTCACATTAAAATTAAATAACCTTATGTTATTTTCATTATTATTAAAATTGTATTTTAAAGGTAATAAATGTAAAAAAATCTTATTCTATTTATCACTAGCTGTCACCCACAGCTTCGCCTGCATTATATCGAATTTTCTCGTGGGAGTAAGATATTTTCTTGCAGTAAAATGTAGCCCATGTCCATATCCAACATGTAAGCTATCTCTGTGCCAAATTTTATTAAAACCTGTTCAGTGATTTAGATGTGAAAAGGTAACAGACAGGCAGAATTATTTTCGAATTTATAATATTAGTATGAATTAATATGAATTTCTGCTATAAGAGGTACGGAAGTTTGAGTTCTTTCTTGAAGTGGTACGCAGGAAAAACTAATTGGGAACCACTGCCTTAGATAAAAATGCCCTGTTTTGCACAAAATCAACACCAACACAAAACAAAAGAACTTGTCTATTTTTTAGAATTTCTGTGTCAAAGAAAGAACCTGTTGGTCAGATAAATCAATAGACTGTTTAAGTGTATTAAAAAGTTATTTTAATAAAAATGTTTAGTAAATGCAGAAACAAATAAAAATAANTTTAAGTGTATTAAAAAGTTATTTTAATAAAAATGTTTAGTAAATTCAGAAACAAATAAAAATAATTTTTAATATATTTAAAAATTAAATAAAGGTAAATATCAAGAATCTTAGTCCTAGTTGGCATAGCTTCTTCTACATCATATTTTTTTCTAATTAGTCCAAGTTTTATAAATAATCAATTTAAAAAAAACTCAATCTGAAAAATTTAAAAAGATGGATTTTAATTCTCAAGAAAAATAATTTTACTGATTCAGAACTTCCTGGTTCTTGATAATCCAAATGTTGAGGTAAACACTATCCATAGTCAAAATATACCACCCAAGGATATATAAAATATACATTTTTTACTTACATGAGGAGGAATGACAACATAAAAATTTTATTTAAATTTTTATTTTTGCTAATCATGTAATAAAAATTCTTTTATGCTTTAACAGAAACATAAACTATTATGTTTCTGTTAAAGCAGAAACTTTGCTGGTGTTACTTCACATGATACCATATGCAATGAAAAGTTTGAAAAAGTGAATGATAGTACTGAAGAATGAGACTGAATGGAGTAATAGATTTAATTGAAAAGTAGCAGCAGATCACAGTGAGAAAAAGATATATAAATGTTTTATTTCTGCTATATATCCATAACATGATTTTTAATTTTAATTACACTTTTAAATCAAAATGGTTTTGATAATTATTTTTGCTAACCAGTATTGAAGAATCTGACAGAAATATTTCAGGTTAAACTGACATTCTTCACAAACAGTTGCCAAAGTTTAGCCACCCCAAATTCTGTTATGTAACCATACATGGGGTCACAACCCACAGTTTAAGAAGCCTTGATCTAAACTAAATGTAAATTTAAATACATTATATAAGTGTTACTACATTATATAAATGTTACAATCAAAATCAAATAAATTTGTGAATAAATACAAAATTTAATATTATCTTCTAAAATTTAGAAAATCATTTTAAAAATGTTTACATGATGTTATTCTTAAAAACAGGATAAAGAATTTGATATAAGTTTACCTGAAATTTTTCCAACACAATTTCACATAACTGGTTTAGATCTTCAAGTCCTTTCCGAAACTGATCTGTAGCTGATGATCCTATTATGAAAGAATTTATAAATTATTGTCATGTAAAACTTTATTAAAGCTACTTTATACGTAGGCTGTTTTTTTCATGCTCCAGTGGTCCACAAAAAAGAGACAAGTGTAAATAACAAAATGAATTTATTACCAAAAGTTAGGTACAAACATGTTTACTTTTTGACATAATTATCGTGAAGATTGAAGAATTTTTCATATCTGGAAATGAGCTTTTCCATCCCCTTGTCATAGAATGTTGTCACCATTGGAAGTTGCTCAATGCTAAATCGGGGTTATACGCTGGGTGTTTAAAGGTGGTGAACACTTCCACCAAGCTTAAAACTTTTTAAAGTGTGAAGACTTCCACCTCTTTCCTGAACTGAAAACATGGCTAACAGGGCAGAGGTTTGAGACTAATGATGATCTACAAAACAACATTGTTAAGGCCATCTCAATTCACTGGCGACAACATTCTATGACAAGGGGATGGAAAAGCTCATCCACAGATATGACAAATGCCTCAATCTTCACAGTGATTATGTTGAAAAGCAACCATGTTTGTACCTAACTTTTGGTAATAAATTCATTTTATTTACACTTGTCTTTGTTTTATGGACCATCAGAGCTCAAAAAAAAAAACCATCCTCGTAGTATCATTTTATGATACCAATTATATAATCAAATTATCTATTTCAAAAATAGATAATGTATTTTATGGCATATAAGATGTATCCCCAAATTGGCACAGAATATTTAGGAAGAAAAAAGTACCATATTTAGTATATTTAAGCAATTCCTCTTAGCACTAATAAACTCTTTAAAAAAAAAAAAAAAAGTAAAATTAGAACAAATTTTTATTTATTGGGAAAAAAGATGATTTAAAAACAGTCATTTATAATTAAAATTTACCATGGAATATTCTAATTAATACCTGCAACAGCAGCTTAACTATAAAGAGAAAAAATTACAATTAAAATAACCAGTAAATACTGGTACATGAAATTTAGAGAATTAATTAGTCTATTGAAGATCACAAGAGTGCAAAATACATATAAGATACAGAAAGATTTTTGATCAACCATATGTCATAATATGCCATAAAAGACAAGTAATTTTATCCATAACTGTATATTTTCTTAAAATAACACAAAAGAATTCAAAACATATTAACCAAATAAAAAATAATTACCTACTTTATTCAATCTCATTTATTTTTATTATAATAACAACAATTTTCATCTCAATTTCAAAAATACCAGAATAATTTTCATATAATCACAACATATATATTAACAGCCATGCTTATATAAATATATCACTTTTTTTTTAAGGTATTTACATAGATGTATACATAAGCCAAAATGTATTTTGGACCAATTGGCCCATCTTCAGTTGGCTCTTTCACAAATATACATACATAAAGATTAAACTTACAACTGAGATTTTTAGAATACATTATGTTACTATCAGTTTCATTACTTCCATTTTCAAATTTTCTATTCATTTACTTATGATTTTACTCAGGTTTCTCATTTCTTAGCCTTTTGCTAGTCCTGGGATTTCAGGAAAAAAGTGAACTGTTTTCCAGGATCCGTGGGTAGAATTAATTATTTTTAAGACAATACAAAATACCTTGAAATCAAATGATATAATTATTTTTCATTTTTTGAAGTAATTTAATTCATTCTGCAACCTCCAAAATCATATTAATAATGCTGTGTAAGATATATATTAAAAATTACCTTTGAATTACATAGAAATTTTCACAAATAGAAAAAATTTATTAAAGTTTGCTGGAAACAACTGCATACAACAACAACAACAACGGGGGGAAAAAAGCTTTGAATTGAGTTGAAAATTTTTAAAAAATGAACTTAGATCAATCAAACTTCTAACTTAAAGATAATTTTTGTTTTTTAAATAAAACAAAATACAAAATATTATTGTAAATTTTTATAATAAAATTTTAAAAAGCAAAGATTGTCAACAATACTCTGATCACTCAATCTGTTTCTTATTTTAGTAATGAAAAATCCTGCTACTAAGAATGCCCTTTCCGATTCAATTGATGTGAGTGGAATTGTGTTTAATGCATTTAAGAGAAGACAGATGTTATCTGTTTTTTCACCTGTAACCTGGAAGATTTCTAGTTCATTTTCGAGATTGTAGTGCTTCTTTTGCTCTCTAGTATTCTTGATTTATCTACTTTAATAGAAACATCATGCTTATAGCCCAATAATTCAGCAGTTCGTTTGTCTTTAATAATCAGGTTTACGAAGAAAAACTTCATACTTTTTGTATCCTTTTCCAATTTGCACAACCTGGCATTACGCAGTTATTGAAGCTACTGGGCATGGTTAAAAATTAAGACAGCATAAGCACAATTATTCCAGATATTACAGGTTCTGAGAAGTAAAGAATTTTCAGAGTCCTGCCACAAATAAGCTACATATTGATTATTGATCATTTGTGACATGCCATAACAAGCAAAAATGTAAAAAAAACTAATAAGTATGTTTAAAATTAATAAATACAAATGTATTCTGACAGTTTATGAGTTAATTATACTTTCTATTTGCAAAATTTCCTCAACCTTAACACAAAATAAGAAAAAAGTGAACTTTTAAGAAATTTGCAGGATTTCCTGGGTTAAAAAATCAACCAGCATCCCGTTTGAGAAAACAAAGATTTTATGTTGTTATTTTTTTCCTACAATTTGCACTATCTAATATAATTCAAAATACAAAATTAAAAGTACAGTTTTTAACTTCATACTTTTTCATGCTTCTATATTCTTATACTCCATTTCCTTCATCATTAAAAAATTTGTATAATTTCTTTAACATTCACAACTTTTAACAAACCATTTGTAATCATACACCATAACAGCACTATTAACTATTTTAACATACATATTATTAAAGTGTATTTTGAACTGCTGGAATACCATGAGAAGAAAACTGCAGAGAAGAAGCCTAAAAATAAACAACTGTAATTGTAGGTGTATGTTAGATGAGTTTGATATCATATGCTTAATATGGTATCTTTGAAGAAATTCATCCATTATATGATGAGCACTAAGGTGTGTATGGTAAACAAAAGCTGTTATTAACAGTCAAGGTGGCCCTACAAAATATTAGAATACCATTCAATAAGAAGTAACTGTTAATACTGTTTTTCACGCCTACTTATATTGTAAACCCTTATTTTGCTCCCATAAATGTGAACAGCAAGTTCTTGTGACAGTGTTCATTAACAGTATTGGTGATAGTCTGAGAGAATAAACACTTACTTCAAGTTCAATGTGTAGTTCCATTATATGTAATAAACTGCATTTTCAAAAATTCTTCTTGGGTTTCTTCTCTATACTACACGTTATCACAAAAAAATTTTAATCATAACTTAAATATGCTACTTTGCATATCTGTTAAATGCTTTATGGTATATGTTATAAGTGATGCAATTTCCATAACTTCTATGTATACACTATATATGTCATTACAGTGGTAACAATGGACTTATTATTCATACTATTGATATTGCATAACAGTGTCATTGGAACAAAAAAGAATTACTGTATATTTCCACAGATAAGATGATAGTTGTATCATAAAAAAAGGCCCCCAAAATCCAGAGTCGTCTTATAGGACAGATACAAAAAAAATTAGATTGAAATTTATATAAATTAAAACCATCATAAAAAAGTATATATACAGTTATACAGTTAAAAAATTATACAGTTTGTCCAAACTGTAATTATAACATTAAAAGTGATCAGCAAATAACACAGAAAATAAAACACCTTAATTTGTTGCTGAAAAAAATATACAGTAGACCCCCCTATAATGCTTAGATACGTTCCACGTTATTCAAATTTTATGCTGTAGGAATCATTAAATACATGAGCCAATCGCAGCCGACACGTGTGCAGTTTACGGACTACGGCTGTTTGAAAGGTTTTCTTCTATAAAATTAACTGATTCTAGAGTAATTCGACTCAACATTTCCAAAACACGTATAATTTTTTGGGAATAATCCGTATAAACTATGTTATAAACAAAAAATTGTAGGATTACTTGCCGAGTGTGCACCGTTCGACTACGCCGTTGCTTACGCTTGTTTTCGTCGAGGAGCAGCACACCAAACGGCGGCCGCGTTTTCTGATAAATTATTTTTCTGTGAAAAATTCGTTGACCTTTGGAGACATCATTAATAGAAATAATTTTTATGGCTGTTGAATAAAAAATGTTTCTTTCACAAGAAATGTATAAAATTAGTGCTGTATTTGGCTTATGATACCTAATTTACATACTGTACAGACGATAGTAAACTCAACTTACTCGCCTAAACTGTCCGTAGCGTGGCACTAGACGGCGGAAAGTATATATATAATTATAATAAAGTTACAATAAATTAAGTTAATATATAATTATATGTACAGTACCTAATTTATATATAATACTGTACAGACGATAGCAAACTCAATTTACCCGCCTAAACTTTCCGTAGCATGGCGCTGGATGGCGGAAAGTAGTTTGGCTGCTCATCCACTATTGGTCCAGATTCGACCAATCTTGTCGCGACACGAGTCGGCGACAATGTTTTATGAGTCCCTTTATACAAATATTGCCGCAATTTTTTCACTACGTTATAGGAATTTCCGTTACAGGAATGCACGTTACAGAGGGGTCGACTGTAATTAAAAAGCAAAAGTTTTCAGCCTGATTAACAGGCCATCATCAAGTCCAAAAAACAAAAATGGAACAGATACGTTCCATGTATATAATACAAATATTTAAATCAAAACTTAGAACAAAAATTTTTAAAAATATACAAGAGAAACCATAATTATTTACTAATAGAGAGTATGTCCACAAAATAGAATAGCCCATACAACATTTTTGTGAATAGTCAAGGTCATTACCCAAATGCCTGAATCAGTGCGAACATTTGCAACAATTGCAAGGCAATGCTGCTAGATGCAAGAAAATAAAATTTGTTCATTCAAAAAATTACAAATAGGACATAATTCCATATACGCTACACAGTATTATTATCCAGATGATTATCACTGATCTAAACTAAATTCATAGGCCGTTGATAGTTTGGGGGTTGTCATATAAGACAGATATATGCTAAAACTATAAAACTTTGACAAAAATTTATACCTCATCTTATCTGCAAAAATATACAGTAAGTTTTCTTATAAATGAAAGTTCCTTTAAAAAGATCACAAATATCTATAATGTTTGTAACACTTGTATAACTTATAACACTTATAAGTTATAGGTTTATAACTTATTAATTATATTTTAAATAATGCAAAATTGTTACCATATATGTGGTTATTAGTAATGAGACAATACCAAAATTTCTCCCAATTCCAATTCCTTTGAATACTTTTTAAAGTTTATTTTAGTTTAAAAAAATGAAGATTTATATTACAAGCATGGTACATGTAAAGTATTAGTTTGGGAGTAAAAGAAAGCAATTTGTGATTAGTTAAATTGGACCCAGGTGTGGTCCAGTCATAAAACTACAGTAGACCCCCCTATAACGCACAGATACATTCCACGCTATAAGAATTTTACATTGTAGGAATCCTTAAATACATGAGCCAATAACAGCCCGACTCGTGTGAAGTTTACGGACTACGACTGTTTGAAAGGTTTTCTTTCATAAAATTAACCGATTCTAGACTAATTTGACTCAACATTTCCAAAACACATATAATTTTTTGGGAATAATCCGTATAAACTATGCTATAAACAAAAAATTGTAGGATTACTTACCGAGTTCGACTACGCCGTTGCTTACGCCTGTTTTCGTCACGGAATAGCGCACGAAACGGCGGCCGCGATTTCTGATAACGAATTTTTCACAGAAAAATAACTTGACCTTTGGAGACATCATTAATATAAATAATTTTTATGGCCGTTGAATAAGAAATGTTTCTTTCACAAGAAATGTATAAAATTACAATACTGTATTAGACTTACGATACCTAATTTACATACTATACAGACGACATTAAACTCAACTTAACTCCTAAATTCTCCGTAGCGTGGCGCCAGACGGTGGAATAAATATATATAATTATAATAAATTACAATAAATTAAGTTAATATATAATTATATATACAGTACCTAGTTTATATATAATTAATATGTAATTATATGTACAGTACCTAATTTATATATAATTTATATATAACACTGTACAGACGATAGCGAACTCAATTTAGCCGCCAAATTTCTCCGTAGCGTAGCGCATGGTCGGCGGAAAGTAGTTCGGCTGCTCATCCACTATTGGTCCAGATTCTATCAATCTTGTCACGTCACGAGGCGGCGGCGACATTTTAGGAGTTACTTTATACGAATTCTGCTACAATTTTTTTGCTACGTTATAGGGGGTCGACTGTATTTGCCATGGTATGTGAACAACAAGTAAACAAAGGGGAGAATGAACACACATTCAAGTCAGTGTAGATGTAAAGGAAAGCTTTACCTGCAACCATCTTTTTCATGATTGGTCAGAAATTGGCTCAAATAACCTTAATATTGGGAGAAAAGACTGGAGAAAAGGAATGAAAAATAGGGCTTGGCAGGACTTAGCAGATATTCAGCAACCCCATTAAGGATAGAAAGAGAGGCTACACTCCTTTGGAAAGGCTGCTCAGGCACAGGTAAGGTCTCAGATCAGACAAAAGTGCAGATAGAGCCTCTCCATGGCACAGAAATTATCAAGTGGATATTCCCAATTATTCTAACTTGTCCTTAGTTGTTATTGTATCAATTGGTATGGTGTGATACCATGATTAACTGTATACATTGAACAAGTTGAGTGTGGAGGTGTATTTCCTACAAACATGCTATACATCAGGAACATTATGGCTGTGCTAATTCATGAAAGCCTCTTGAGGAGACAGAGAACAGAAATGGAATCTTCACTGTACATTCATTAATTAGTAAACATCAAGCTTAAGAAAGGAAAATAATTGTAAATCCAGAATCAATCTTTTGAAAAAAACATGAAAATTCTCCATTTATATGTAGATATACATGCTTTTATTGTACTACAAAGTAAATTTATAATCTTATTTCAGATTAAGTTAAAATTACAACACTACCCTCAAAAAGATTACTGCTAATTCTCTTTTATTCAAAGAATTATTCCATCATGTCATCTAGGATCACCATCTTTGGAAACTGATTCATTGGTTGATATGATGACAAAGGGGAAGAGGAAAGTAAATGAGTAGATGCACTTTTTTCCCCCATTCTTCTTGCAATCAGTAAGCCTTGTAAATGCTTTAATTCCATTGTATTTAATTCAAACATTCTACTTATTAAAATCATATAATTAAACATTATTTTACAATTTACAAAAAAGTTATTCATATAATGTCACAGAATATTAAATAATTTAAAATTTTATAACAATTGAATAAAACAGTTGTCCAAAAGTTTAGGTAAATATTAAAACTAATACTTTTGAACATTTAACTTGTATTTCCATTTGCTTTAATCACTTCAAAAATATGATTTGGCACTGTAATTAAATTTGTAAGATCTCTGTTTCTAAATTATACTAACTATTACATATAGCTTCTTTTAGTTCACTAACTGTTTCAAACTGCCTGCCCCTTCTATAAACATCTCTGTTAATTACTCCCTATAAATTTTCTGTTGGGGTGAGGTCAAAGCTTCTTGGTGACCATTTCCAAATATTAATTTTTTTAGACTTCAGCCAATCCTATGTTGATTTTAATGAATGTGTAGGAGCATTATCCTGTTGATATATCTATTGATGTCTCCCTAGTGATTCAGCAACAGGAAGAAAATAGTTATCTAGCTGTTTTTGATAGTCTTCTGACCTGTTATAAAAGCTAAATTTGTAGTATCATTAAAGATGAAGACTGCCCCAGAACATTACAGAACCATGATGATGATGACTAAAGAGACTTTTATTGCTCCTTTCTTAAGTCATGCCAAAACATCTGGGCCATCTAAGTTCCAGTTTTTTCTCCTCATCTATCCTAATAAACAGACATCTATTTGTCCTTCCATTGCATGTGGTTTTTAGCCAATTCCAATCTCTTTTGAAGATATTCAGCTTTTAGCTGGGGTCTGCATACAAAGTGTAATAGGTTAACTGAAATTGTCCTGACCCAAATATTTCAAATAATCATTGCTCTACTGAATTCTATTATAACACAATTTAAAAATATATAAATCGGATTATAAACTCACCGTATGTCTGTATCCGGAGATTTATTTTATTCTCTGATGGATGAGGAACTGCATAACCACAAAATTTGATTTCTGGACTGAATTTAAAATAAATATTTTAATAAAAAATTAATTTTAAGTATTATATACAAATATATAAACAATAACTTATCATCACAGCTGTTCTAAATATAACAGCAAACAAATACAGTTTCTTTTTGTACTTAAATTTAACCTATAATTAGATATTTGATATTTTTGAACATTTCATATTTTAGTAAAGTATCAAAGCTTTGAATGTAGTTATAAAGGTGGTCATTGTCATGCAATATTACAAAGTATTGAGCTGAGCCATAAGTAATGCTTTTTTTATAAGTTTTAATAGACCTTATTTACATTAAAAACATATTCATTTAATCCAATGTACAATATCTTTCATTAGATATGACACATTTTATTCATTGATTAATAAGTTTTTTAAGCCTTTCTTATAAAAATCATCAATTTTAATTCAAAATTGTTTCACTGTTCTTCTGAATAACTTCTTTTGTATTAAAACTGTTTTGAAGGAATCAAAACAGATGACAAGCTGTAGGTGCTAGATAAGACTACGAGGGGAATGCATGAAAAGTTTCCAATCTTAATTACTGTTGAGTGATTATTGCAATTTGGGATTGAGTGTAATCATATAGCAAAATAATGTCATTCCTGTTTGTTAAATATGGGCATTTTTTCTTGGATTTTTACAAAGATTATCCAATTGCTGACTTTACTAACAACTAAGAACTGAATATAAATATTAAAACACTACCATACATACTATTATATATATATATTATTTGTTGCTGTAACTGAAGTGTTATCTCTTTTTTAATTCATATAATATTCATATAATATTTAATATTATATGAATAATTCTTAAATGTCTTCTGAAAAGCTCATTTTTTATTGACACCAATAATTTAAATTTTTTTAAAAATAATCAAAAACATGAAAATTGTTATTAAAATCATTATGTAATTAAAACAATAGCACTTGATCTGATTGGTTAGGTACATAAGTATGAAAACAATGCTTAGAAGAAATGGTGTTATTTGCCTCAACTTGATAAAGTAGGCCACAATAATTGGTTATAAGTATATATCATCATCAAAAACATTATCAGCTGATCTTTCTTTCTTTTCTCTTTTTCTTCCTTGTTGTATAAGTAAAGGTTTCTGTTTCAAGTTCTTGTCAAACAGTTACTTGTTTATACAAATAATAAACATATAACTTTAATAAAAATTTATAATAATCCACAAAAAACTTTTTGTACAAGTGTTATGTTCTTAACTACTCCACAAACGCTAAGCGTTTGTGGAGTAGTTAAGAACATAACACTTGTACAGAAAGGTTTTCATGGATTATTATTACTCAATGAAGTGTTAAATTGTTGGAAGTCGTTTTGTAATAAAAACTTACTTTTTCATTATCATATATCTCAAGGAATTTCCCAGAGTATGATCTTCACCATTCAACACAAAAGTTTTAGTTGTATCATCACCTACAAATTCTGATTGAATCTATAATAAGAACATTCAAAATAAATATACTTCAATATTTAAATCAAATTTTTTACAATTTGCTAAAATAAAGATCAAATTATTCATTTTGATAAAAATAAAACTACAATTATGATAGGCATTAATGATTTACATGAGAAACACAAAACAAGTAATGTCATTCAATTATTCATAATTTATATAAAAATAGGTACTGTATATACAATCTTTTACAATTTAGGAATCTTTACATGTGACAATATTATAATTACTAAAATTTTAATTATATGAAGGAAAAAATCTATAGCATAAATCTGTTGAATAAATAGTCAAATATAGACATGACAAACTTTTTGATCCAAATAGTTTTCTAGACTGTATAAAATTGATATAAGCCTATTTACACATTTTATAGTCAGCATACATTTAACAAATTTATCCACTCTACAGGCTTATATTTTACTTTAAAAAGTATTTTTATTTTCTGCTATTAAACAAAGATGAAATAAATTCACTAACAAAGGAACATGATAGATATAAAATGAATATTACTTTTGTGCAGTTTTTCAATTTTAATACAGTTAATTTGAAGTACATAGAATTTTTCTAAAATTAAATTAGAATTAATATTACTTTATGCTTTCTTTCTTAAAGTAGCTAATTTTAGTACCATTTGATAAATATCAGTTACACATTGAATTTTCCAAAATATAGATGCTCATTAACTGCTTTTTCAGAGCTTATACAGTGATGCCTCGTATAAAATACTTAATCCGTTCCAGGTGCACGTCCATTAAGTGAAAAGTCTGTTATACAAAACGCATTTTTCCATAGAAATACATGTTAAAACATATACAGTAGAGCATCGATTATCCGACTCAATTGGGGACTGGGGTTGGTCGAATAATTGAAAAGTCAGATAACTGAAAAATATGAAAAAATCCATTATTAGTGTAGTATATTATTATATCCCATGTAATTAGTATACCGCTATTAACCTACTTCGCATTGAATTTTCCTCCATGTTAAGCGTATCAATTTTTTTTTTTTAAATAATAATTGTCGCTATTGCATCGTTAAAAATTAGAAAATTAAGCCTCGTTTAAATATTGGCTCCCTTTCATGATCGAGCCATGTTGCCAGCTAAAACACATAAAAATACTATTAAAGTAGCCAAGACATAGCCAAATATTGTAGTGCCACATCACTAGCAGACATTTGAATTTGCCTACTAGAACGCGGTCGGTTAACCGAGGTGACAGTTAATCGGGGGTCGGATAATCGATGCTCTACTGTAATTTGTTCCACAGCATAAAATAACCATACCATAAAAAAACAAAAATGGAGCAGTCACCAATTATGCCGGGTAGTCAGATGTTGTGAGGAGGTAGAGGAACACTTTTTTCACACATACATACAGATACAGGCTTTTTACACATTACAGCAGGTCTCTTTTTATTGTTTTTTAATCAGAGTCAGATTTAGGAGAGACTACCGGAGCTTGCAGGGTCAACTCCTCTTGTTCCATCCTTTGTTTTTTGGCAGCTGGTTTCTTGAAAAACACGTCCAAGGTGGTCTGTTTCTCTCTCCTCTTCAACATCTGTAGGAAATGACGGGCAAAGGTGTCATTGTAGAGATCATTGATCCTGTTGACCTCAGCTCTGTTTGAATAATGAGTGTTGGTAAACTGTTGAACCTCTCCCCATTTTACAAGGAAGTTTTTGTCAACTTTCAGATTTCTTGCTTTGTTTCAATTGAAATCACCTTTCTGCTTTTTTAAAGCCATGATTTGCACAACACTTGAATAAATGTAAATACCCTGCACTCAGGTGATGTACTGTACGTAATAAACAAGGGAGCAAGCCGAATTCCAACGGGAGCTCTGTACTTCAGATATACTAATAATATATTCTAATAATACTAATATATTATAAAAATAGCAGATTGTCATTAGTAACAGCAAAAGAGTGGAAACATCATTCGCACTTGTTCGCAGTCAGTCTGTTGTTCGAATCACGAAACGGCCAAACAGAAAGTCCGTCGTTCACAGAGTCTGTTGTTCGAGGCGTACGTTATATGAGGCACCATTGTATTTCTCATTAACTCTAAAAGAAGTTAATGAATATCTATAATAGTTTAATTAAATTTCAAAAGTAGATTGCCATTTACATCTGATGAGATAGATCTTAAAATCTCCTTATGTGGAAAGTAATTAAGACTAGAATATGTTAAACATATGTTCTATCACAGTAGTGAAAGTTTGTTTTTAATAAGAAAAGTAGCTAAAATTCCATAAATACTCTGAAGTAGAACATAAAATGTCAGTAAACTCAGGAAAGTAGTCAAAAACAAGCTACAATAATTTTATTGGTTTATTAAAGTCACGTGTTTTGAAGTTGCAACGTCAGCAAACAATGTGTGACCACGAGAAGACGTGCGCAACTCACACTTGTTGCGGTTGCGGTCACCTGCGCAGCTGGAAATTGCATGGTGTGACCACAGCTTAATACAAGAGACATGCAACTCACACTTGTTGCAGTTGCATATGCAACTGGAAATTGCTAGGTGTGACCATTGCTTTAGTGACCAACCTATTGTTATTAAAATCAGTTGGTAGTGGTAAATGACCGTCATTCATCACTACTAACTGATCTGTATGCAGTTTTGAAAAGACCATTCATAAGTAATCAAAAAATCTTACTGGAACTAAATCAAATAATATAAGTAAACAACACCTTTTTAACAGTCCAGCAAAACGTTATTGGAGAATTATATGTTTTTGCTAGACTGTTAAAAAGGCGTTGTTTACTTATATTATTTGACCATTCATAAATAAAACAGAATACTTTATTATTCCAAATTTGAATTACAAAACTGTTAAATCATAATATTCAATTATATTTAAACTTATTAAAATAAATAAAAACAATCAATTTAAAATATAAAATTTTACCCTTGAGCAGTCATGCCAATTAAAATTACATGACCAGATTCATGGTGAACTAATTTCACAATTTGAAAAATAATTTTAGCATTGTTGTACTCAAAATATAGTATTTATAAACAGATTCCTGATATTGATTAAGAACTTTTGTTCAAGTGTAATGTGAAAAATAAATGAAAATGTTTGAAAATATAGTGAATGAATTTAAGAATTACATTACAGGTATACCTCACCTTACGTCGGTAATTGGTTCCAGGAGAACGACTTAAGTCGAAAAACGACGTAAGTCGAATTTACTTGTCTCCATATCTACTTACCACTAGGCTAAACCATAAATTACCAATTCCCATTCTGTATTTTATTTATTAATGCATTTTTAATAATATATGCTTAGTAAGGATCTATTTTAAGCTTACAAACAAATAATTTTAGTTTTTAATATAGTACAGAAAAAGTAATTTAAATTTACGAATGCATGTACTGTAAATACAGTATATACTTGTAAATGTATATATTATAATATGATTTTATGTGCTTTAAACATTTTTCTAGTGATATTACGACTTCAATATTTGTGGCGGACAGACGCAAAGTCAAATAAAATGACTTAAACTTGATTTTTATTTTTCCATATACTTTTTTGACAAACGATGTATAATCGGGAACAATGTAACTCGAAACGATGTATGACGAAGTATACCTGTATTACAAAAATATAAGTATACAAATTACAGGAATTGTTATATTTAAATCGTTTAAAAAAAATATGATAAACAGTACAAGCATAAATGATACTAAGAAAACAGCAAACTGCTAATGAAAAATAATGAATGTTAGAACACAAATAAAGTCTCTACTCTGAACTGCCCTCAGTATTTTTTACAAATTCACAATTTACACATAGAACAATGTCTATCGAATGTTCTTTGCAAGCATGATTATAACATGTTCCACACTTTCTTATGGTTACTTGATTTTGGCTCTGTCACACAAGAAGCATCATTTTCTTTTCAGCTGAAGCTTTTCTTCTGCATTTTGTTCTTTGTCTTCTAAGGGTTTGTATTTTTTTTAAAAACAACATATATGCATGGGAAAAAACCATTTTGGCACACTTAATAAATGTCCCTTCCATTAGTTGAAATGCCAGATTTTTAAGAAATATTCTTTTTATTTCAGGGTTGTTAGCATTTTCTTTGTAGATTACTTGAGTGTTTATTCCAGCCATATTCAGGAATGTGAAAAATAAACATAATGTCCACCTCCTTGTTATTCGCAAAACAAAATATTTATTTTCCTTCCATCTGATTTGAGTTATCAACACCATCTTTCGTCATGTTATAATCTAAATTACATGAGGATTTTAGTGTTTTGATCAAAAGATCCTCTCATCATGCAAGGACAATAACATCAAACCAGCTTTATTTTTTTTGAACATGAAAGACAATCATTATATCATATCGGTAACCAAATAATAATGAATCCACTTTGCATTTATGCAGTAAAAAGTGAGAAGGGATTTCTCTCCCTCTTTTTAGTGTCCCAATAGAAGTAATTTTATATTTCAGTAGTGAAAGTACAAGATCCTAACTTGTGTACCAGTTGTCGACCATCAAATTACAGTTAGAACCTTTTATAAGAGTAATAAGTGAATGCACAATATCACATGGCTTATTTAATGTTTTATAAGATTCAGATGGCTGAGTTCCACAATAAACTTGAAAAGATGAATTATAAAATGTTTTAGCATTAGTTAATGCATATATTTTTAAACCATACTTTACCAATTTTTTTGGCATATGTTGAATAAAACTGTGGCCTCTGTATGGTACAAATTTTTATCAACTGTTACAAATTTGCTGTGATTGTAGCTTCTTTTACAACTTTGAAAAAATGCATCCAGTAAAGATAGAATCATCACTAGTTTGTCTTCTTTTTTTCCATTCAGCTTGTGATTCCTTGTTGTCAAGTCTTATAGATCTCAGTAAAAACAAAAATCTTTTGTAACCCATGCAATTTCGAACTGCCAACATTCCAGTACCATGTTTATCCAAATTTCTTGAATATTAGTATAGTTTAAGCCTTTTAATCCAAACAAAAATAGATAGTAACTTGGTATTTTCAATGTTTACAAGTTCTCCAAAGCGGTCCGGTTTCGAGGCTAAAACAGGAAGAGCCGCCATGACAGTCTGCGACTCTGGACATTAATCGTTGTAAGAAAATGTGTAAATGTACATATAGGCCTATATCTTAACGTAAGAATGACTGCAGTATATGCTTAAAAATCAATACTAAATAACCAACTTTTTATTATATTAAAAAAATTCAAAGGCAACTTTTTATCAGCACGTGGTTAATTAATACAGAAAACATTAGTGAACTATACATCTGTTTGATAGGTTAACATAATTCACGTTTTCAAATACTTGATGTCATTATTTACAATTTTTCATCGTAAAATTCAAAGTACATCAGATTGAAGTCGGAAAGTACACTATCCTAACAAAACAGATCCTTTGTTACTTATTTCCAGTTAAAAAATATAACGTAACAGTGCTTGGATCTGACCACGTGTTCTTGTTCGATAATAATACCAAGTTCGGAGAGAATTTTACTCATAAATCAAACTTAACCGAACTAATCGAAAAACCTAATGCTCTTATACTTTAGTGGAAATCATAAAGATTACTTATGTCTAAATAATAGTTATACAATTGTTTTCAACTTTACTCACAACTTCCAACACTCTCTTATCCGCCATTATTGTTTAAATGACTAGTAGTGTTGCCATTTCAAACTGATAATTTTCCAGTTTAAATTATACATCTTTTCGCCTGATATTTTATTTAAAAATAAGAAATTAAATCCTTTATCAAAAATCAAAGAGTTAATTCAAGTAAAATAAAGGATCAAAGCATATATCAGAATCAAACATTTTATTATAATTCAGTATACTTTTTAAACTCTTTTCATCCTGTAAACATAGGGGACCTTTTTGCAAGCCCGTTATGGATTCGGCCAGGCCCACGATGGGGTCCGAGATATCCGGACGAGCCACACTCGATAAAATTTCTGGGGATTTATTGACCCGTCTGGATTCGAACTTGGATCTCCCAGAGCAGTAGGCTGCCACCTTGACCGCTCGGCCATCCGGCCGTACCAATTCGGTACCGTATTGTAAGTCGCAAAATTGCAACTTACAATACAATAAGTTTTATGATATAAATTGCAAATGATTCGAATTTACTAAACAAAATAAATTAGTTCACGTAACAAAATGTTTGGTATGCACTTGAAAACCTTCTACATCAGCTTAATTATTAAATTCCCGCTGGTAGTTCGTCCCTAATTCGCACCTGACAACCACTCTTGCCGCGTGGAGGTTACTGGATTTTCCTCACATATCTAGCATCTAAATAGAGACTAGTTTCAGTGATTTTAACCATTTGGCCACTGGCGTGCCTTGGGATAATTTGATATTATATCCTTGACATTGCGGGAACTTTGAGGAACGTCATGCCAAAAGTTGCCTTCTCTATTTTTATGAACATATGAAAAATACATGAGTGGTGACATAGAATGGACTCTTTACAACTCAATCAAAATAGCTATCCTAAACTCGATTGTTTTTATGTTAAATGCAATAAAAAACTGCACTGTCGTTCCAAAACTCTCCTAATCCACAGCACCAGAGTCTTAAAAATCGGTTTTTCCGATAATTCAATGAGATTACCAATTATAGTCACCTAACCTAATACTTTTTTTATGTTCAAAATAATAAATACTAATACAGTAGAGCGTCGATTTTCCGAAAGTCAATCATCCGAAACGTCAATCATCCTAAAGAATTCCAGTCGGCAAATTTAAATTTTCGCCAGTGTGTGGCGCTTCAATCTTTGTCTATGTCTTGGGCTACTCAAATATTTCACGTTTTTGATACTAAATTAACATCTGAAGTATATTTTTTTGTTGTTTTTATATTTTTCAGTATATTTATATTGTTTGTACAAAATAAAAAAATAATTTTTAACGATATAATAGTCTTTGTTAGGCTTAACATCGACGAAAATTCAACGCGAAGCGACACGCAATGGAGAAAAATTTCAACATCGGATACGTTAAACTAGTTTTTCGTACATAAATCGGTTATCCGAAATATCAGTTATACGAACAACCCCAGTCCCCAATTGATTCGGAAAATCGACGCTCTACTGTAATTAATCTTATTTGATCAGGATGGACAACATAATCCGGCGCGTAACGTTAAAGAAAGACGATAGTCAGGTATTCCAGTAAACTAGAAAAAAATGGCCCTTAAATTTCATCGAATTATCCTGAATATGGGCATAATGGAAAAACATATATATGTCAGTGGCGTGCCCTTGTATTTTATAAAAAGTAAATACTTATTAATTTTAATTATATGAAAATAATCGCACAATATTTTATTATAACCGCATTGTGGCCGCCAGCGCCAGAGATCCTGAACACTGTCTGGCAACACTTGCCATGATCACGAACTCTGTCTGGCAACACTTGCCAACAAGAGTGGCTGGCAACGTAAAAAAAGAAAAGGCGCGAAAGTTCGTTGGATTTTGTCCGGGTGTTGCCCGAGGATGTCTGTGACAGTTCTAACCTTTTCTAATAAAGTTCCTTTTTGTTACTGTTCGTGTTTGCCTGCTTAATGTTAGATCTAAACATCAGTAGGATTGAATGACAAAGCATTATGTATCTTATTACAAATTTCTATACTACACGTGAAAAAAAATAATAAGATTGCTATTGTATATTCGAATATTAGTGGCAGAGTGGAATCTCTATATTGTCAGATTCCAAAAAGCCAGATTCGCGCACGCGCTTTACAGAGCCCCAACCTCACCCGGTTTAGCCGGTGGAAGCCTACGACTTTGGGTTGATGCTACACATATAACGCTTCCAATTCTATCCGGGACCGGTTCTGTAGCCGCCTGCCCGCTTGATATTTGGCCGATTACGTGAATAACGAGTAGATTTATAACTTAACCCAACCGATAAGAATTTACTGGTATGTTTTTACGATAGTTCTGTATAGTTGACAGGAGTTTAAAAAAATCCATTAAAATATTTGATATATTTATTCCGCTCTTCGGTTTTACATTACTCACGGATTTCAATGTTAAACCAGTGATATTACGATTTCGTATGTCCCATCTTTAAGGGAATGTAGAAAAAATCGTGTACAAGTCTTGTATGATGTTAAAAAATTAACCGTTACTTCGACAGCGTCATTTACAACTAAACTTAATGAGTGAGAGAGATGCACCAGGTACAGGAAAAGCTCTAGAATTTATTTTCCTTAAATTTACGATTTATGTATCCGTTTGTCATAAAAATTTGTCTTTCCACTTTTTTCCCAAGACTACAGATATTCGAGTACAAAGTAACTGGTTTTGACTTATTTCTACTTAAGAAGTGGTTAAATAATTAGCGATTAAGGAATTGGGGATATAAACAAAACCCTGCTGAAAGAGCTGGAACTTTACTTAATTAAACAAAAGCTTAACCAAACCAATCTATAGCCGAGTACAGTGGGGACTGATTTCTTCGAAATACTGTATTTTAGATGTAATAAAGACAGAAATTTCTCCAGTTCGACGAGAGTGACCGAAAAGTTGTAAATTTTGGAAATTTCCGTGGACAACACCTGGTCCTAAAACGAATTAGTTAGAAAACAAATGACTATTAAGTGTAACATATTTAGATTTTTACAGCTATGGTGAGAAACGTTTAAAATCTACAACAGTCCCGTCGCGTCCTTTGAGATATACTAATGATGCGGCAAAAGAGGTATTTGACATTGACCAGTATCGGCACCCTGGGGATTTGGCAGTCCGCGTGTATGCACGCTCCGCAACCGTCTTCGATTCCATCCGTTAGCCACTCGTAGGGAGCTATTTGACTAAGTGCATTGTTTTAAGATTTAAAAAGTAAAGAATATTTTATATTTTTTATGTACGTTTCTTTGCAAAGCTATATTTAATTATCATTTTCTTTAAAAGTATATTCATATAATTGAAAAATATTTTGTATGTACCAGTGTGGTTACACGCCTGTTTTTATTATTATTATTATTAGTCTGTATAGTTTTAGTTTAATTTAAATTCTAGAATTTTCCTTCTTTCCGATTTCTGTGTTCCACGGTCTATGCTTCTACCAACGATAGCCCATTTTTCTTGCTATACGGAAGGGACCCAATATACCCATTTGATCTCATTACCCGTCCTACACAGACAAGATATGATGTGAAAGAGAACTTTGCTGCAGAATTACAACTGCGTATGGCTAATGCACATCGGGTTGCGTAGGAACACGCCGAGCAAGTCGCTAGAGAATGTCAAAAACTACACCGCCGTACCATAAACTATCTACCTATCAAATGGGCGATAGAGTTTTTCTTAATGAGATCGTTATCTCTCCGGGCTTCAAGAAGAAACTGGCACCCAGATAGTCGGGTCTATTTCGCATTATAACAAAATTGAGGCCTGTCACCTCTATAATTGAGAATATCCAAACAAAAAGAAAAAACCCTCAATGTCCACGCCAACCGTTTGAAACATGGCACTGCCCAGCAAGAATTAGGAGAAATAAATGGTTCCGAGGCACGACCAATCTCAACTTCAAGTTTTGCGAAATCCCAAGAAACATTACCTTCCACCTCCATTTTCATAGATTCATGGGATGAAGTCATCCTCACCGAGATACAGCAAAAAGCAGAATCGGAAAGGGGAGAAGAAGAAGACGTAAATACAGTGGTAGAAACGAGAGAACCTACTACCGAACCTGAACTAACTCGCTCACATCCTTATACCTTGAGGAGTCAAGGACCCGGTAGAGGAACAACCTTGGGTCGTTCCCACTCCTTGACAAAGCCGAATTCTTAAACAAAAGGCCAGCCCGCCTAAGAATGGAGTCAACACTAAACCAAAGGTAACAAAACGAAGGAACTTAACGTAAGAAAAAAAATCATGACTCCAAAGCTCATTCAATACCTAACTTTTTAATATACCAAGGAAAAAACCCTGATATAGTCCCTCTCTAAATTTTTTAAATCACTTCATTTTTTCCCCTCCAGAATATCATCATCCACTAGACTTTAACCCATCATGCACTTAACCCTCTTGCTCCAAATCGTCTTCCTCACCTCATTAGTCTTCACTCTCCATATCAACTCACGGGAGGAACCTCATAACCTGCACAAAGGTGGTGTCTTTGTGCACCAGGGAAACTTCATTATGACTACAAATTACAGGATTCTTATTTTGGATATATCTTTTGATCCTTACGAGGAACAGTTGCACCTTTTAAAGCGGCATATTCGATTGTTAATCTCGTTAGTGCAACGACAACTTCGATCTCAAGATAACCCTTCAGCTCCACGATGGTCTCTCTCCGTTGATGAACTCACCTTCCTACAGGCCACACTAACCGGATATGAATCGGAATAACGGGAATTACAAACCTTGGTAACCCTTACTAACGTTACTCGAGAGAAAAGAGGCTTAATAAATGCACGAGGTAAACTTCACAAATATTCGGAACAGCCACCTCGGGAGATATTAAAAGAGAAAATAGCGCAATTATCAGAAACGAATATGGAATTTACTCACCTTCAGTCTCAGGCTACCTTACTCAATGATACCTTACGAATCGCCAAGACAAATCGATAACAAATTTATTCTTTGATCAAAAAGCAAACCCTCATCGAAGAAACATTAATACATCAACAA